TATCCACCTGTAACTATCTGTTAATGACAAAAAACATCATTGCGACTGTGTCTTTTCCTCAAAAAATTGTAGAAGAGAACTTTTTTGATATCAAAATTTTTCGTAATTTGAAGCAAAGATCGTAATTTTTCTATTTGAATGCCTAAATATTGAAGTATTCCAATAGGCTGCCAATCCAACTTGGGATTTTTACAAAATAATGCTTAATAACAAAGTTGAAATTCGATCTTCAACTATTAATATCTTCTAGAAATTTTCGACAAAAACATTTTCAATATTTTTCTGGTACTCCCCAAGGGAGCCTCTACCACCCCTTAAAAGGAATGACGCCAATTTTGAATCACCCTGTATATAGTAATAGAAATTTTTAAAATTGTGTTATTTAATATCAGCATTAAGTTCGACACGTACCTAATTCGTGTGTCAGCGGATGGTAGTTTGCCCATTCGGAAATTGCCATGGGATGGTGCAGTCGATTGACTATATCAAGATCACGAGCGGACAACTGGGTTTTCAACCACTGTGCATGTGTATAGTTCTGACGCATACCAGTTACGAAATGTATCAAGTGCGAACCATACTGAGACCTCTGAAATACATCTTATAAGTAGTTATGTAGCAAATTTACCTCAGTGCTACTTACATAAAGATGTGGATACGATTTCTGTTCGTATTCGATTGATCCGATGTATGGTTTCCACCCCAAAACTGCAGTTAAATTGTTCAGATGCTGAATGGCGCCATTTACTGCTATGCTGTTAAGCCACATATCCCCTTTCAGCCTGTTTTCTAGAGTTTTTATAACTGAATGTGTGATCCTATTTATTGTGACGGTGTTTATTTCGCTTATATAATTTTGCGTGTATTCGAAGACGTGCAATCCTTGGAACCATGTACTGTAACAGTGAAGTGAATCAATTAGAATCAGGTACCTAATGAGGCTTGGAGCTTCGAACAGTTGAAAATTAAACTCATTGCAATCGTAACCTTTGCCAATAAATTAAATTCTAAATATATTGAAAAATTAACAGTACAATTGAAATTCGTACTATTGTTTTCGGATTTAGATCCGATTTCAGTATTTTTTCGATGTCGTGACCAATGCGAAAGTAACATGTTGATCATGTTAATTACTTGGAGGATTTTGGTTATTTTGTAATGGTCCACTTCTGAAGCCGTATAGGTTCAAATAGAATGAAGAACTTGTGAAATCGAACATACAATTATACAATATGAGCTCTAGTTCATAGCTGGACGACTTGACGGTCAGACTTAGATTATGTCAACAAACCGAATTAGGGCGCAGGCTCGGTTTAGGACCTGTTCAGAACCGATCCTGATTCTTCCGCGAACGATTTTAGAACCAGCTTTTAGTAGTACCAACAGGATAATAGTTACTTTGTGTCTAACAGTAAATTTCCGAAACTGAGATGCAATGAACTGAAAGTGGAAAGACGGATTTGCTCTATTTTTTATGATCACGGTTTCTCTGCGAAAGTGGCGGTTTTTCATTATTTTAAATAAAAAAGAAGCGAGGAGTTTAATAGTCTTCTGGACCGAAGTAATTATGATTGATGATGGTGATTCAAAATTGGCGTCATTCCTTTTAAGGGGTGATAGGGGTTCACTTGGGGAGTACGAAAAAAATATTGAAAAATTTTTCTTCGAAAATTTCTAGAAGATATCAACAGTTGAAGATCAAATTTCAACTTTGTTATTAAGGATTATTTTGAAATTGTTCCATGTTTAATTGGTAGCATATTGAAATACTTAAGCATTCAAAAAGAAAAAATACGGTATTTGCTTCAAATTACGAAAATTTTTGATATTAAAAAAGTTCTCTTTTACAATTTTTTGATGGAAAGT